CCAGAACACAAGGAAGGATGAGGTGATAATGATCCCCACAATCAGCTGCCTACCTGGGCAGAATTAATACACAGTGTTACAAGCCGTGCCTGTGAAATGGGGTGGGTAGAAAATCAGACCCAAGATCAGGAGCAGGACATCATCAAGTACGACCAGTAAAACAAACACACCCATGGGGAACAGGAACCAGACCGATGGAGAATAAGCCGAAAGACCTGTGGGCAGAGTCTCAGGAGCAGGGAAATGAACTGTGGAGGAAAGCATTGGCCCTAGGTATTTCCAGAGCCGCAACTCAAGGTCAGCCTACCAAATTATCTGGAGTCTGACTGAAGCATTCCAGAAATGAGATAACAGTGAAAGAAAGGAGCATACTTCAACTCCCCCAGCGTCAGTCTCTGGAAAGGGGGACCACCCCTTCCTCCCCCACAGGGAAGAATTTTAGTGCACGAGGCCAAAAAACAAATAGTACCAGGATGGCAATTGGGCCTGTCCATCTGGCCAGTGGAAGCCTACCAATAGCTAAATGAAAAAGGCTCTTACATTCTAATTCCAGTTGGCCCTCCATGAAAATTGGTAAAATTCTGAGTAGATACAGAAGCACAAATTTCAATACTAACACAACAGGATGCCAAGAAGCTGGGCATACGACCCAGATGGCAGAGAATTAAAGTCACCAGAGAATTAAAGTCACCAGAGTAAACACAGCAAGTGTTGCTTGCCAAACCGCAAAAAGCAGCCCCTGCCCTCCCTGATTCAAAGATAACTGGTGTCCAGCATCTGATTTCTGCTGTGGCACAAAGTAGAATTTCTGAAGTAACAGCAGATTCGGAAAAATGACAAATCATCTCCTGAACCTGCTCCCCGTATCACTGAGTTGTCTGGCCAGTTTGGAAGCCAGACATGAGGTGGCGTTTAACAAGTGATTATTGGCACCTAAATGCTAATACTGCCCTACTAACAGCTGCTGTACCAAATATTGCAAACTTAACAGCTACTTTGCAAGCAACTGCACACCCATGGATGGCAGCACTAAATGTGAAAGATATGTTCTTTATGGTCCCCTTACCGTAGGAGAAGGATAAACAGAAATTTGCTTTTACTTGGGAAGGCGTACAATACACCTTTAACATACCCCACAGGGGTATAAACATTCACCCAGGATCGCTCATGCTGCACTTGCTGAACTTTTACAGACAGACTCACTCCCTCAAGATGTGAAACTGTACCAACATACAGATGATATTCTCATCGGAGGGACCTCCCCTGAAAAGGCAGGGGAAGCGGCAACAGCAGTGTGGCAAGCACTACACAAAGCAGAAGTTCAAGTTCCACCTGAAAAATGTCAGGGACTGAGCAGAGAAGTAAAATTTTGAGGTACTTTGTGGATTGCAGGTAGTGCAGCAATTCCACTGGACACCCCCAAGTCTGGGAAATTTTTTTTGGCTTATGGGCACTTTAGGGTACTGTAGAAAATATGCACCTGGATTTTCTACCATTGCCTACCCACTGTACTCATTTTTACAAAAAAGGAAAACTGTGGAAACGGGACCCAGAAGATGAAGAGACAGTCAAAACCCTAACATGGGAATTAAAAACATACCAGTCACTTGGGCCAGTTCACCCCCGTGACCCTGTTACAGCAGAATGGGGTTTTGCTGAACATGATACTTAGTGTAATCTATTCCAAACTGGCCCCGATGGACCAATGAGAACTGTATTATTCAGCTTGGTTGCATTTAAAGACAGAACAGAGATACTCCAAATGGGAAAAGGGACTTTTGACCTTTGTCTGAGCAGTTAAACAAGTTGAGAAAACACACCAGGGGCAACCTGTTCAGACTAGAGGGCCATTTAATTTGCTAGAAACAGTCCTCAAAGGAACTGCTCCCCCAGAAAGAATTGCACAGAAACCCACCACCAGGAAATGGTAGATGAAATGCAATTGACTGAAGGAGACACAAAAATTTCCAATTTACAAATGCCTACAGACTCCATCCCACTAGCACTAAAACGGCCACTTAAACCTTCGCCGATTCTAGGCGCACCTCCTCTCACTGCGGCAACACCGACTGAGGGCATTTGGTTTACCAACACCCCAGCAAAGAGGGTAAATGGCAGATGGTGGTATAAAGCCACCAGAGCCAGGGCAAACAAGGAGCCATGACAGCTGGGAGTACAGGACACCAGAAAGAAAGATGTACAGGGATTACTTTTTCAGCAGCAGCAAGAGGTTACATCAACCCAGCCACTGTTTCAGTGGTTTCTAACTTTAAGCAAATGGCTTGATATTTAAGGCCAGAATCACTCACTGCCCTGTGAAAATAATACTGATTTGGGACTACTCGATGCAGTGATCCCTTCTGCCTCACCCAGTGGTGCTGTTTCACATAAACCGGTTCTGTTTGAAGTTGGTAAGGAAGTCAAGTATTTGGGGCATTTGTATTTGCAAAACATTACACCAACAAACAGAACAAATCCAGTAATGTTTCTTTGTTCACTTTCACTCAGGACTGATTCAAAACCCTTCTTGAGAGTATTTAAGTGTAGAATAGAACATGCTTGACAAGGTTGTTTTTGCTGCTTCTTTCTGCTTGCAATGCTTCACTTTACTTTCCTGCTCCATTCTTTTAATACTGTTCCAAAAAAGCATCCAGTAAAGCTCCTCTGCCCACATAGTTCAGATTTCTGAGGGCATTAATGCAAAATGCATGTTTTTCCTGGTACTGGCTGAAAAACAGAAGACAAATGTAAGCAAACGACTGAAAGGTTTGCCTGATTCATGATTATTATCTGCTGTTTGGAGTTGGCAATACATTGCTGACTCACTGTTTGAATTCTTTTCTACCTTATCAGTCTTGAAACTATATTGAGTGAGTTTTATCATCCCTGACAACCTGTCGGCAACCTGAGAATGCACGCATGCATGCCTAGAACATAGACCAGCCCAGAATTATCGATTTAGCTTTCTAGAGCTAGAACTGAAGTGGTAAACTCTTCCTTCTACCTCTCCTTTTCTATTGATTTCTTTAAATTAGTTCATTTGTCATGCATACTAGCAAAAGGGCAAATATGGGTAAATATGCCCAATGACAAGATCCTTTCATATTCCCTTCAAGAAAGCAAGCAAAACAACGGACTGTACCACCTTGGTCGCATTCCTTGAGGTGGTTCTCTTTCTGTGACCCGAACAGCCACTGTTTGTACAGCGACTGTGTGCTTTCGCATGCCTTTCAGATCAGGCAGCAGCACCAGGTAACAGCAGCTGGCATTCCCTTTATTTTTGAGCTTAACTTCTTGATGCAGAGGGAGGAGTCGATACTTTCTGTTTCTTAAGCTTGCATTGCCGAACAGTTTGAAAATGAAAACTTATCTTGAATGGATTTAGTATGCAGCCTTCTCCTCGTCTTTCCAATTCACTGTTTGGCATGTTTCCCCCCAGCTCCACAGACTCTCCCAAGCCCTGCCTCAGCATGAACAGGAACCGGTCATTTCTTGGCTTCACATCCCCTGCCAGGACACTATGCTGCAACTGTTACCGGAAAGCGGCACAATAATTCACTCTCTAAAGCTTAATTTTGGAGTTTTTGGAAGCAGACATTCTTTACCGCAGCACTGGACGCACAGGGGATAGCTCTGCCCAAATGTGCGTGCCAAAAAGACACAATTACTAGGTATTTATGCTATGTTAACATATATACTCATTATATTGCCAAAAAATGCTTAATCATATTCATAGCTTTTCCGATAATTCATTAGCATACGTTAATGTCCTTCATGCATGTCTGTTGGTGCCTCTGGGTGCTCGCCGGGGGTCTTCAGATGAAGGCTCATACACTTCGTCACGGTGTTCACTGGCTGATCTTTGCTTCAGTGAAACTTGGTTCTAAGATCACGTACATCGTGTCCTTCAAGGCTGCTTCGTTCTGGCCTTCTGGTCATCTTGCAGCCTCCCTATCTATCTCCATGGCTCCGCACACCCGCTCTCCCAAGGCCGAGTTGTCTAAGTGGGATCATTCAGCAGCCTCTTACCTTACAACCAACTACTCACAAAGAACCAGGACTCGCTTTGGTTGTAATTAACCCGTTGCACAACAATTCTGACTGTTATAAATGACAATATGTGCATTATCTTTTTTTTAATTAATATTTAAGGCAATAAAAAGCAAGCAAACAGTGCTGGGTGCGCGGGGAGTCGCTGCTCCACCAACACGCACACCTTCTAATGGCACCAGCAGTCTTTATATTCTCTCCGAGCTGTTTGTTTCCACGAAGTCTCCTCCTTCTTTTGATTCTCTGTGCTTACGTGGCATCATTTATTGCCGCATGCGTCTTATGATGTTGGTGGTCTTTATAGTTCCTCTGGTGGTCTTTGGGATGAAGAGTCTCTTCTTCCTTGGTGTCCTCTAAATGTCCTTTTTTGGCGCCCTGCCGCAGCCTCCCCGCCGCTGCCTGCTCATCTTGCCTAAGCGATACAGTTAGCCCAGTCTCAAACCGCACTGGACTTCTATATTAGCCCAGTCTCAGACCCTCAGATATCCTGTCTGTTGTTCCATGCCTTTTGTAGTTTTGTTCTTTCACATTATGCTGGTTTCCACAGTTGCACAATATGTGCACTCGACACGAATCATCTTCTAGTCTATTACATGATGACTTATGACGATACATGTTTACAAATATCTCAAGGGTGGGAGTCAGGAGGATGGGGCCAGACTCTTTTCAGTGGTGCCCAGCGACAGGACAAGGGGCAATGGGCACAAACAGAAGCAGAGGAAGTTCCAGCTGAACACGAGGAAGAACTTTTTCCCTTTGAGGGTGACGGAACCCTGGCACAGGCTGCCCAGGGAGGCTGTGGAGTCTCCTTCTCTGGAGATATTCCAGAACCACCTGGACAAGGTCCTGTGCAGCCTGCTCTGGGTGACCCTGCTTCGGCAGGGGGTTGGGCTGGGTGACCCACAGAGGTCCCTTCCAACCCCGACCATTCTGTGATTCTGTGACTTCAGGTGATCCCTTTTACCTACATCCGCTGCGTTCCCAGGCACCACGACCAGCCTCGACCAGCAGCTGACTGCCAGCCTGAACGAAAGCAAGCGTCGCCTCATAAACCCTGTCAGGATTCGGGCACCGTAAGGGTTTATTCCACGCTACGGGCTCGACGCTCTGTACTCTGTGCCGGCGTCACGCACACCGACAGGGAGAGCAGCCGGGGGGTGAGGAGAAGGGGGGTGAGGAGACCTTCCAGCGGGCGCTGCCGCCCTGCTCCCCGCACACCCGGGGGAGTTCCCCCCCTCAACCAGCCCTCACGCCACCCCCCACCCCTTCCCCGGCTCCCAACCGCAGGCCCCGCCCGCCGCCTT